GATAAAGTCACGGGTCGACGTATCGCGTAAAGGGGACGCCTGGGTGAATCGAGTTTGAAGCGGCGCAGGATCGCGAGAGGTGGCCGGTCGATTCCGGGGAAGGCCGGCCACTAATAGGTTAATTTGAATTTTCATCCCTGACCTCGGGACTATTCTCGTCGAGGAATAATCGCCGCGAGAGCGGCTGAATGCGAGGCTTAAATGGGCTCGCTCGGGGGGCGCATTGACGCGAACGAAAAGGTTACTTGAGCTACGAGATTGCCCGGGTCCATTGACGTCCGGTGCCCGTCAAAGGAAACGAGAAGGAAAGAATCGCGAAAGAGGTTTGCTCGGTTACGAAGACCCGCGACTCTTCAATATCAAGGGGTTTGCTCGACAACCCGGCAACTTTCTCTCCCTTTCTCTTATCAGCCATCTTCTCTTTTCTCCCATACACGCGCACGCGCCCGATTCGCCGCGTCCCCTGGGTCAAGGAGGGTACGTCCGCGTGGCTATTTTTTCCGACAGCCTACTTCCTCGGCCTGCCAGGCGAGGAACGGGTCCGCGCGACGGCACAGCGGCATCGACCACGAAGACGACCACGAAGACGGTCTACGGGGAAAGGTTACCGCGTGACCGTGAGGGAAAGAAGGATCGGCGCCACACGCGTTACAAATTCGTTCCAAGTACGCGTGTCTCGCTTTTTCAACCAAACGATTATCATACACCATCGATCATCCTCTCGATGAAAAGCGCCACTCGACGGGTACGCGATTACCCGTGTTTTTTCGAGGCCTTTGGAACGCGAGCCCGAAGAAGAACAATACCCGAAGGTCTAGTCGCTGCGGAGAGGAGCAGCGGCCGCGAGTCTGCGGAGTGTGCCTGGACACGAGTAAAAGCGTTATTGGAATACGAGCGCGAGCCCTGTTCGGGGACGAAGAGGTCGTAAAATTTTCACGGTCGACCAAGATTTCGTAGCTCTACGAAACGACCGGCGAGTCTCAGCTCACAGCATCCGGGAGTCGATGCTCCGGGACGACGGTGACTGTTGAAACGGGGGTTCGCGAAAAACAAATAATCCCGCGGTCGGTTAACGAGATCTGGATCTTGCCCGCGGTTTTCTTGCGTAACCGGATCTAGTTCTCATCTCGGTGTTCGCGTTCCTCTTCTTCTTCTTCTTCTTCTTCTTCTTCTTAGCAGCCTGTCCCCGTTGACGCGATCGGCTGCAGTGCCGATAGCACGGTCGCTCTCGCCGCGAGGATTCACTTTCTAGGGTAGGTTGACTCGCGTAATTTCTTCGGCTGCCTATTGAGCCTTTCCTCCGACGATTCGCTCTCGTCATCGCTTTCCAACGTGGTCCCCTGTCGGAAATCGGGGAACGCGCGATCAACGCGATCCATTCGACGTTAATTAAACGGTAAGAGCATTTTGCGCCGGGCAAAAGAGATTCCGCCTGGCCTCGGGATTTTTTCGCCTGCCGACCTTGAGCCAGTCGGACAGCGGGCATTTTCAGCTCGTCCATTTCGCGAAATATTTCAACGTCGAGGCGGATGATGTAGATAAAGTGCGAACGTCCGAAGACGGTGCGCGCACGCGGCGTGTTTTACTTTTTACGCTGCCGCGGCTAACTCGCGCGCAATAACGCGGCCGCCTTATAGGACGTGGATAGAAATAAATACGCGGGGTTAGACAGAGCCATAGATCACCGGTATTCGGTACCATCGGTATTCGCCACGGCGTACACCTTCCTTTTTCCTCTCCTCTTTTTGCCCTCTTCTTCGACGCTCGTCGATCGACGAACCAACGAACGGTGTTTGTTGGTGTACGCTGCACCTCGTCACGCGAGATTCACTTTCAGGATGGACTCGCGGCGCGGAGCCAGCTTCGACTACCCGCGAGCATCGCCCGGCGGAAAGAGTCCGGCCGTGACTGTTAATTTGCATACCGCGCGTCGTTTCCTCGAGGACGATTGGATCTCTCGAAATCCCATCCACCCCCCCTCGCTCGGTTAATAACCCCGCAAAGTTGGCGCGTCGTGCTTTTTTCCGTAGAGTCCTCTCCGTTTTGATATTAAAGAGAAGCAATCAACCGAGTCCTTCCTCTCGAGTTTCGAACACGTTCTTCCGCCAAGCACACGCTATTACGCGGCAAGAAAGCGCGTCGCGTATAATTAAACACGCGGCGGAGGGCCAGCAATAAAACTGTTGCCTTCGTAATAACGCGATTAAGCGTGGAGGAGTAAGCAGACCGAGGCGCGCGCGCGCGCGCGCGATTCATCGCGCCGTTGGAAAAGAGGAAAAGTCGCGAACGTGTGGAGGCCGTGGCGGATACGCGTAACCCTCGTTGAAGGAGCGTCACCGTTAAGTGCACCTGCGGAGAGTGCCTCTGCATCCGAGTGCATCCGTCTACGATACGATTCTCCGCGATGCGATGGCTATGGCTCTCCGCTCGCGGCGTCCGCAGTCAAAGTTCAACGACAGACCTCTTTCTCGCCTGATAACGCGCGGATAATCGCGGAGGAAATCCGCGAAGGAAAAGGAAAAGAGAGGGAAAAGAGAGAAAGAAAATGGACGGATGACTAATCCGGAGGATTATCGAGGATGAAAGACGGCTGGAGGTTGGTAACGATAACGACTCAGGGGTAGGCGAGAAGACGCGGATGGCACATGCGCTATTTTTGCGCGACAACGGCTTATCTCTAATTTACATTGCGACTCCGGTTGCCTGGATAATCATAATTGCTGCTAACGGTAGTCATTAGCGCGGTCGTAGCCGCGATATTGCCTATCCGTCAGTAATCTAACGCTGTGAAGCACGACGCCTCCGATAATTACAAAGAAGCTGTAACCACCAGGAAGCGGCAGGGTGAATCCCCCATTAAGCCGAGATAATTTTATACATACTGCCCTCGGTATTTTCCGGCTAAGTCTGTCGTCGGGGAAAAGCGGCGTATCGCGGCGCGACGATCGACCGGAGCGGAGCTTGAAAAAGCGACCGATACCTTCAGACGTGTCGCGACCGAACGCGCGTGCACCCGACACAACGATCCACGCGCTATTTCGCCAACCCGTTACTAATGTCGCGATCTCTCACTCCGCAGCTCAAGTACAAGAGACGGGTGTACAAGATGCTGCATCTGGACGAGAAACAACTGAAGGCGATGCACACGAGAACGAACCTGCGAAGGTTACTGGAGTACGTGGCAAACAGCCAGGTCGAGAAGATCGCCAAGATGTGCAGCAAGGGACTGGATCCTAATTTCCACTGCCAGGAAACCGGAGGTAAAACCGATTACGAGTTTCTTTCGCTCCGATCCGCCGCGCTAATCCCGACGAACCTTCTCTCTGCCGTCCGTTTGCCCGAAAAAGGGGAGGAAAAACTCGATTTCATTTAGATAAAAGCTTCGCGCGGCTTGCAGATACGCGGAAGCGGCAGAGAAGCTCTGGCCGAAAGCCACCCGCGCGGATAACTGTATTCCGTGACCAACCGCGTGTTCCTCCGTTCGACTAATCGCAGACTCGCGACCACGCGTTCGCGCTCTGTCGCCCCGGGACAAGATGCCGACCTTGGGGCCGCTCGAGGTCGGTGGTTATCGGATTTCCTGCTGCCTATCAGAATCCTGTCGCGTCGTAGATTCGTACCTGCCGAGCCATTTCACGAGAAGGAAACCCGGTGCGCGTTCTGTTGCAGAGACTCCGTTGACCTTGGCCACGACCCTGAAGAAGCCCTCGAAGGTGATAATAGCCCTGGTGAACGGCGGAGCGCTGTTGGATTATCGAACGAAGGAGGGCCTGACGGCGATGCATCGCGCCGTCGAACGGAACAGTTTGGAAGCGGTGAAGACGCTGCTGGAACTCGGCGCTAGCCCGAATTACAAGGACACCAAGGGCCTCACGCCTCTCTATTACAGCGTCATCTACAAGACCGATCCGATGCTCTGCGAGACGCTGCTTCACGACCACGCGACGATAGGCGCGCAAGACCTGCAGGGCTGGCAGGAAGTGCATCAGGTCTAGCGATAGTTCTCTTCTTTTTCTTCCGTTTCGCGCTTTCACGAGAACACCTCTCGTTCGTTTAGACTTCGGCGCGCATCACGCGTGCTACCCGTGTAGTCGATGCACGGGGTGGGGTTTGAAGGACAGGAAAGCACGTAGGAAAGCATGTAGGAAAGCACGGTTTAATTATAATCGTGTCCCCTTCGATAATCGATACTTGGTGTGGTGTTCGCAGGCCTGCCGCAACAACCTGGTCCAACACCTGGATCACTTGCTTTTTTACGGTGCCGACATGAACGCGCGTAACGCATCTGGTAATACACCGTTGCACGTTTGCGCAGTGAACAACACGGACTCCTCTTGCATACGTCAGTTGCTGTTCAGAGGCGCGCAGAAGGACAGTCTGAATTACGCGAACCAGACGCCCTACCAGGTCGCCGTGATCGCCGGGAACATGGAGCTGGCCGAGGTCATTAAGAATTATCAGCCGGAAGAAGTTGGTGAGTGCGATCGAGCGACACCCACGGATACACACGGATCTGGAGGACACTCTGTGTAAAAGAGAGATTTGACGAAGGAGGAATCGGCTCGCGCGCGTCTCCTTTTCTATCGATACGACGTCGAGATCGCTAGTTAGTAAATGAAACATCGGTCACGAGAGTAGTCTCTCGATCACTCGCCGTTTAACCGGCCACACCGATTCTTCGACACGGCGGACCATGTGTCCGTTCGGTCGACAACGGCCATCAATGACTCGCGCGATTCCACGAATTAGACCGGTGTGTTTTCTAATCCCTTCGGACCGTTCGGCGACATCGTTTCGCACTCGAGATTACCCGGTAATTCGACTCGTAGAACGCGTTCGCCACCCAACAAATAGCGGACAAGAGTGCTTACGCGAAACGACGCTTATCAGATAAAACCCGGACTTCGATCGACTGTTCGGAAATTTTTCGATATATAGCACGTCACGAATTTTTAGCCTGGCATGTGCATGTACGTAGACTGCTTCTTTTTTTTTTTTTTCTTCCCTGTCCAAGACAACACGCTTCAGCGCTTGCCCGTAACGTAGTGGAGAGTAGCTAGTGAACCATGGACTAGTCTAATGGTGTAAATATATATAAATATACCAACATATATATTTACGTATATATATATAATTGTGCGTGTATCTGTGTCTGTGCTGTATGAAAAAAAAAAAGAAAAAAAAAAGAAAAAAAGTACACGAAATTGTAAAAGTCTGATGGGATCTTTGGTGGTGATGGTCTTGTAAGACGTCGAGTATCTTTGTAACGATATAACGAGAAGTAACGACTAAAGTTTGATTGCTTTTGAGTAACTACTAACGATGCCGTATCTTTTGGTCGTCGTCGAGCGTCCTTGCTGTTGCCGGATTTATCGGCGAGCTTTTGAAAATCGGTGAAAGAGGAGAAGCCGGTGGAGGAGGAGGCGGTGTACATTGCGCCACAGGCGAGACGGATATCGAGTATTCGATGGAGAAATCCGGCAGCAGCGAGGTCGTGAGAACAAGTTGATTAGTAATGTTTGGTAGTTTCGACGTACTTTGTGAGTTTACGTGCACCGTCGTGGGCCGTCGTCGTGGATCATTGGCATTTCCGCGGAGTAATAACGATAAAAATCGAAGCCTGGACAGATGCTTCGGACATGTCCGGCGGCCCGTTGACGGTGACGCCGTGATCACCGGTGCACATGTGCTGTGTCTGTCTCTAAACCGAAAGTACGATGCGGTTATATCAGTGACACCCTATAACCCCGGGCACAATTGTATCGTACAAAACAGATACAAGCAATCGCGATGAATGCGTGACTCTTTGCGTGTGCTTTTTCACCGCTTTCTTGTATACAGAGACTAACGATAACGTCGTACGAACGTCGTTGTTCCTGCAACGCGTGACACAATGCCGATCACCTGCCGATTAATAACATCTGTACGCGCGCGTGTGTGCGTGCGTGCGTGCGTGCGTGCGTCGGCAGGCGGTAAATCCGCTGGAGAATTTTGCGGAACGTGCCGCTCGCGGCAGCAAAGACGAATTCGAATCCCGTTTCTTTCGAAATAGCATCGATCGACGATGCGCGCGGAACGCATCCCGTCAGAGAAGCACGTTTATTCCACGGCGAACGTTTCATTCGGGTTCGAGATATCGAAGTGACGCGCGAGTCGTATCGCGCACGCGCACGCACGCCGGACTCGCGAGCGAGAACGCAAACACACGATATCGGGATTAAAGTGACAGGGAGAGAGAGAGAGAGAGAGAGAGAGAGAAAGAGAGAGAGATAAAGTGAAAAAAAGGGACGATCGCTCCAAAGGAAGACGAATACCTTCGGAGAGCGGCGTCTACTTGTAAGGCTAAGTAATCCTTTCTTTACTTAACCTTGCAACCCTCGATTTTCCAGTACCGTTTAAAGGGCCGCCACGCTACAACCCGAAACGACGATCGGTGGCCTTCGGCGGCACGTCGACGATGACCACGAGCTGCTCGGCCAGTAACTTGGGCACCCTGACCAGGATACCGTCCGCGGAACAACAGCACGGCTCTGGCGGAACGACCGGTTCCGGTGGAGGTAGCCTCACCAGAACGATCTCGGTGGAGCAGTACACGTCGAGCGTCAACGCGGTCACGAGAGTACCGTCCGCCGAGCAATACGCGACCGGCAACCTCACCCGAGTACCGTCCACGGAACAACAGTATCCATCCACTGGCACCCTGAACAGAGTACCGTCCGCAGAACAATATGCCAGCCCTATCGCGACCGCGACCGGTACCACCACCGTAACCAGGATGTCTTCCGGAGAGCAATACTCCGCGACCGCCGGTACGCTCACCAGAGTACCGTCCACCGAGCAATATCCGACCGGTACGCTCACCAGAGTACCGTCCACCGAGCAGTACGCGAACAGTATGGCGAGGACGGCGGAGTCCCATCACGTCGCCCTCGCCAGAGTACCGTCCATCGAAGCAACCAGAAACGAGCTACAGAGAATACCGTCCGAGCAGCACGTCGTTGCCGCCAGATCCGGCGAGCAGAACGGTCATCGGATTACCTCGGACTACCAGAGCCCCAATTCGCTGAGGGATCCTAACGCGAGGTAAGCATAAACTGTCTTTGCGAAGTCTCTTGCGAACTCTCGGCTCCGCTCGGGAAATCGGGATTTCCCTCTGATCCTCGATCCCTCTCGTCGGCTTTCCCCTATCCTCCGATACTCACTCCTGCACCTTCTCTGTCTCTCCGAGACTAATCCGGGCCCGATCAAGGTCGGTCCCTCTCGGGGGATCTCTCTCGGTGAAACGCGTGGGTCGGTCTCTCGCGCCTCTGATCTTTTCGTTTCGATATCGATATCGACGCGTGCTCCGATAGGCTCTGGTCCTCCGATATTAATCGGCCGACTGTTATTCGATCGCGATCTCGCACCGCGTCCCGAGGGCGGGGGAACGCGCCCTTTCTTCCGCGTGTTCGGGGATTAACCGATCGCGCGTTCAAGCAAAGACAATTTACGCTAATCTCGTGAGATTTAGTCGAGCATCAGGTCGGACGTAGTCACGTTCGACGCCTATACGAGTTCCGCTCCATTTCAAGATTACCAGCCACCGCGGAGAACTATCAGAACGTAAGAATGGAGGGGCTGACGAGGCTGCAAGAACACCGGCTCGAGCTTCAACACCGTCTCGACATGCACAGAACGATGGAGATGCCGCCGTCGCCGTCACCGAGCAGCAGGAGTCTAGCTCCTTTCAGCTCGGCTAGCTCGAGCCTCTCCGAAGGCAGCAATCAACCGTCCGGCGAAGATTCCGCCAGCATCGTCACAGGTATACACACACAGGTTTATTTTCTTCGACTTTTGCCCCCATCTCTTTCCGTCGCGGCAAAAGGGACACGGAGAGAAACCGGGGGTGGGATAGGGGAGAGTGAGCGAGGGAGAGAGAGAATGAGAAAGAGAGAAAAAGGGAGAGAGACTGAGAGAGAGAGAGAGAGAGAGAGAGAGAGAAGAAACGCAGCCGCGACCGCACGACTACCACACACGAGAGTGCGTTTCTGCGGAGAGCGCGCGCACACGCACACCCTCCATCGTCGAAGAGATTTCGAGAGATCTAGCCTCTCCGTATATGCGTTTCGGACGCGACACGTGATCAGCCGATGCGACACGGAGAGAAAGGTAGAGAGAGAGAGAGAGAGAGAGAGAGAGAAAAAGGGAAAGCGAGAAACAGGTGTATTTGTATATTTGGCGTGACTCGAACGTCGAACCATCACCATCAGAAATGGTACGCGACGCTGGACCTGGCTAACTTTGCCGCGTCCATTCCACGCGGGCCGATGACGTTTCCCGAGACGATGACGAAACAACGCGTACGAGATATAGCTGCGTGTCTCTTAGTGGATGTAACATCGGCAGACCTAGACATTCCGTTACCGCCACCACCAACCAGACTCTCTCTACGTACACGTACCAGTTAGGCAATTTCAAAAGAGCGGATACCGTTTTAGCGTTAAGCTAGCGCCTTCTCTATACTCCGTTAAGAATCTTAGTAGCGTTGCATGACGTTTCGTCGCTCTAACGAACCGATCGAGCCGATCGAACGGTGAAAGCTCAACCGACCACCCTTGTTCCGTGAATTTTTTTTAGACAAGAGTCTGGGCGATACTGCCTCCGACGTGATTAGCGACAGTTCCGGGGTCGGAACCTCGCAGTCGGACACTACCAATTCCCTCTCGATACCCGGCACCACGGTCGTCTGCGTCGAGAGCTACAACAGCGGGATTCTAGGCCATCTGAATATCAATCAAGGAGATATCTTGGAAGGTACTTGATAATGTTGTCTTCGCGTCTTCCCCGCCACGTCCTACTTATTCGGTTAGACCTCGAGTTTATCGATAACGAGAAGAGTGACGGGCGAGCGTTGATTTCTGCTTCATATAGGTAACCCATCAGATATTAAATACGTTCTGATGGCAAAGCTATCGTTTCTTTCCTTCTCTCCGACAGTGACCGGGGCGACCGATTGCGGTCTTCTCGAGGGGGTGCTCCGTGGCCAGGGCACGGGCCTGTTTCCGGCCCACTGCGTGCAAGAGGTCAGGCTCCGTCACACCAACATCCCGCTGGGTCCTCAGCCGGCCAGGGACGCTCGGAACAGAGTGCTGGGCCGCAGAGAATCGCAGCATAAGTATTTCGCTACCGCTCCTAGATTGAAGAAACCGTGAGTCGCTTATACCTTTCTCGTACCTACCTACGCTATTCGTAAACCGACGTGTCCGACGTGTAACGCCCGTAACGGTTAGACTTAGACATTTTTACGAGATAGAGAGAGGAGCGAATATCCGTTAGAGCGAATATCATTTCCTCGGACGTGTCGTAGCCTTGAGTGCTAACGGAAACGATGCAGTTTAATACGCGAGATAACCGTTATTCGATTCGATATTCTTCAGAGTTACGTCCGAGCCTCGTACCGTGGTGCTGCATCGCTCGAGAAAGGGTTTCGGCTTCGTGTTGCGAGGAGCCAAGGCAACCTCGCCTCTCATGGAACTAACGCCCTCGGCCAGGTACCCCGCCTTGCAGTACCTGGACGATGTCGATCAAGGAGGAGTAGCCGACCTGGCTGGTCTCCGGAAAGGAGACTACCTTATCCAAGTAAGTCCCTTCTTACTTTACTCCCGTGTACTCCTCCGTTTACCGATTCTATCGACACTATCCACTCTCCGATGCCTTTCTTTCACGCAGATCAACGGCGAGGATGTGACAACGGCGTCGCACGAGCACGTAGTCGACCTGATCCGAAAATCCGGGGAGCTGGTCCGAATGACGGTGGTCTCCCCGGTGATCAGCCTTCCGAATTCGCAATCGGCAGCCCTTCTGCCAACTAGTCAACCCATTCAGAGACAGTACGCGACGCTTCCGCGTAAAGGTAACACGAACGTGGTGATCGGTGGTACGCTTGGCAGATCACCAGCTCCCATGCCACCCCGAAGAGACCCGAAGACGACACTGAGCGTCGGTCGGGCGCGAGCAAGATCGATGGTCGCGGGGTTAGGTAAGCGGGGTTCTGTTCGCCGTATTTGTACGATCCCAGCGATCGACGGTCGGATCGGAGAAAAACTCCGAGACATAAATTTGGTACGTTTGATGACACGTAGAAGGCGGTGGCGAGAGAGACGATCGCGACGAGATAACATCGACGGGAGCCAAATCGAGTAGCGCGGAATCGATCCATCTTCCTCAACAGCCATCCACCGGACCCAATACCGGACAAAACACGCCGGTGCAGCCGAGAACGGCCAGTATTCGATCGAGACCTACCTCCAGTAGGATCACTGCCGCGGAACTGGAGGTACATACGAGAATCACGAAGCATATACCGTTGCTCGATCACGAACGATGCGCTTCTTATTCTCTCCTCGAATGGCATTGCACGAACGAACTGAGGCTTCAGCTTTGTCCTTCCTTTCTTCCAGGAACTATTTCAGCGGCAGCAAGGTAGTACCAGTGGTCAGTACAGCTCGTCCATGATGAGCTCTCACTTTCAAACTGGTCAAGCTACCAAGTCGCATCCTTCCTCGCCTGCAAAGACCGGCAGGGTATACGCGAGCGTAGCGGAAATGAAACGCAAAGGCAAAGTAAGGACACTTCCCCCTCGACAGTTAATCGTATATTCTCATTTGATCTGCCTCTGTAGTGGATCGTTCGTTTACACTCTGTGACACTGTCACGCGACCTTTCGTTCGGTGGTACGAACACACATGGTAGATTTTGTGGTGTTATAGCTGTAGAATTTAAGCAAACCGCTAGAAATTGCCTTTTCTATGGATTTTATCTCGCAACCGACGCGTCCAGCGATATTATCCTAGTGCTCAGTGGGGCTGGTAACTTTGCGGCTAACGGTCAGACCTCTCGAACGTTTGGCCCTGCGTGAAATCCCTAGAAGCGGCAACTCTCTTTGAACTCCGATCGATCTAATTTCTTCCCCCCACCCCCACCCCCCTCCCCCCTAACACTTTAACTCGAATTGTT